CTGATCTCTCTTCTTCTCCACTCCGATCCTCACAGAGACCTGAAAAAAAAACTCAGATCCGGTGAACAAATCCACCGTCCGACGAAGCTTTTCCGACTTCTTCTTCTTCTCCTCGCCGTCTGTGGAATCTTCCTGGAGCTTCTTCTTCTATTAGAGGTGGAGAGAAAGGGGAAGATTAAGCGACGGATAGAGATAGGTTTTGCTGTATGTCATTAGATTGTGTTGAGACTTATTTTGGTGGATTTGGTGAACTTGTTAACCCTATTCAATGGCCTCAACTTCGAAAAAGACGACGGCATGTACTCACCACGGTGGTGTCTCTTCTCCGTCTACGAAACTCGTCTCCGCCGTTGCTGGATGGTCCGACGGTGATGATCACCGAGCCTCTAAGGTTGGTTTGGAATCCGTAATCCGCCCCGTCGAGTCGCTTCCTGATACGGCTAAGAAACCTGCAAACAAAGGTAAAAGGAAAATTTCGACTGAATCATCATTGTTCTGCTCTGTGTCTCTAATCTTAGATTGTGATTTGTGCGAATTACTTGAGTTCTCGTTGACTGGAATTGTTAGTGATGGTTTATTTTTGTGAAATTTGGTTGTTGTTGTTGTGTTTGTGCTACTACTATCAGTGTTTGATCACTATTGTACCAATGCAGGGATTTCTGTAATGCCAAGGACGGAAACCAAGCATCCGTTGGATCCTCTATCTGCTGCAGAAATATCAGTTGCAGTGGCCACTGTTCGCGCTGCTGGTGCTAGCCCTGAGGTGCGGAAACTTTATTCTTCTTTTTCATCATAAGGCTTTGGTTTGATTGATAATGTCAATTGATTTCGCTGAAACTGTTTGATTTTTTCTTTGGCAGGTTAGGGATAGTATGCGTTTCATTGAGGTTGCTTCAGTGGAACCAGAGAAACATGTTGTGGCGCTTGCAGATGCTTACTTTTTCCCTCCGTTCCAGCCATCGCTTCTTCCAAGAAACAAAGCTGGACCTGTGATTCCTATGAAGCTCCCTCCAAGGAGAGCAAGACTTATTGTGTACAACAAGACGTCTAATGAGACAAGTGTCTGGATCGTTGAGCTATCTGAAGTTCACGCTGTCACTCGGGGTGGGCATCACAGGGGAAAAGTTGTTTCCTCACATGTGATACCTGATGTTCAACCACCTATGGTAAGTGAATTTTATATGCTACTTTTGTTTGCGAGTTTCTCAGTTTTAAGTCTTGTGATTTTAGGATGCGGCTGAATATGCTGAATGTGAGGCCATTGTCAAAGACTATCCTCCGTTCATTGAGGCAATGAAGAGGAGAGGTATTGAAGACATGGATCTAGTGATGGTTGATCCCTGGTATGTTAATAACATTGTGACTTCTGCTGAAAGTGTTGATTAAGGTGTACTGTTTCCCTGAGCCTGCCTCTGAAATTATTGTGCAGGTGTGTGGGTTATCATAGTGAAGCTGATGCTCCTAGTCGTAGGCTTGCGAAGCCCCTTTTTTACTGTCGGACTGATAGTGATTCTCCTATGGAAAATGGCTATGCTCGTCC